CTTTTCTTTTCCTCTCATGTATGCCACTCACTCACAGTGAGAACAACTGTCCGAGTTTAGACATAGAGGGCAAGTCTCCGTAGTGGCAGACAAAATTGCTCTTATCCCTCATGTGCCTCCTCTCTTGCTCTTCCCCACTCTCCTCCATGTCTAAAGGACTGACCATCCGGGACTTGGCCTCTGTTCTCCTAGGCTAGCAGCCCTTTAGTATCACCTTTAGCAAAAAACTGGCAAATTGAAAGGCATTTATAAAAACCAAAATAATATTCAACTGGAGGAGAGTTAAGAGCATTCAGGAACAGTATCAGCTATTAAAAAGCACTACTATGAAATCTTTTCCTGGAAATATTCTTAAGTAAAAAAAATAAATAAATAAACTTAACATTTCTGAACGACACGGTAATATTCTAACAAAAGCCAAACACTGTGTGTAGACATGTTTTCCATATAATAATATATGTAAAACTCCAAAAAGATATATACCAAATTAGTAAAAGTGATCTAGAGAATAAAACAAGAGAGGGGAGGTATTATCTGGGTTGGTTAATAATGACTTTATTACCTTTATAATAATAATCAAATGATATTAATAAAAAATTAAATAACATCAAACAGTAATACATTTGTCTAGCTTTTGCTGAGTGCATTTCAAACGCATGTTATCACAGAATAAATATGTCTACTGCTTAGAAACAACCTGTACAACAAATTTGGAAGTAGCTTCTTGGGAGGCTCACCACATTTATCAATATATGGTGAAAACCTTTCTGGATGGCAGACTGTTAACCAAAAGATCAGGGGTCTGAGTCTTCTGAAAGATGCCTTGAAAGAAGGGCTTGGAGATCTACTTCTGAAATATCACTGAAAACTCTGCAGTTCTTCTCTGATACACACGGGGTGACTACAAGTCAGAATCAACTTAATGGCAACTGGTTTCAACTTCTGTAAATAAGTGGATGCAGCAAAGGGACTGAAGAGAGCTCTAATAATTTCTTTACTTTGGAATAAACAAAGGCCATGGAAAGTGAAGGTCCTGGGAAAGATCAGCTGGAAATGCTCCAAACTCATCTAGCTTCTTTCATATCATTCCTGTAAAGGCCATGATCTTTGGAGAGGCACAAAAATCTCCAGCACTCAAGGAAACTGTCAAGACCTCTGAGTGAACCATGACCTGAGGGTTTTCTGTGCAGCCCCAGGCAGAGCAGACCGCTGATGATCCCCTCTCATCTTTCTGTCATTGTCTTATTCTTCAGCTTTCTAGGAGTAAATGTTGATATTCAAAAGCTGGGATCCTGAAAACAGCTGGGAGAAAAGAAGGTCTGGAGGCTACTGGGCCTCCCTAGTGAAGTGTGGGAGTTAAGCTGTAGATGTGCATGTAGTCACCTGCTACTTACTCAAAACAGCACAGGCTAGAACTGGGTTTGAACCCATTAGCGTTCTAACCTAACAGTCTATTTTATTTATGCCTTGTGGTCAACAGTAACTAAAATTATGGTTATGGAGGTTTTCGGCATGCTGGCTCCTAGTTAAGAAATGTCAACTTCCATCTTTTCCACTAAATAGCCAATTGTTATGCCCTTCAACCCCAGGAACAAATCTGGGAATAGAAGATATGAATAAAACCTGATATTTACACTTAATAAACTCACTGGCTGGTGAAGGAGACAGCCCATCTGTGAAATGGGCACAACCGGCAGAACAGGTACACTGACTAAGATGAACACCTCTGCACTGCCCATCTGGGCACCATCCTCTGGTAACAGCAACTATCCAGCAGCCTGATGCTGACCCTTCCATTCAATGACCCAATGGTCTCATGGATTTACTACAAATGGCTGGCCTGACCCACGATTTCTTTTCATAAAGATTTCTCAGGAGAAAGATAATGATCAGGACAGTTATGCTGATGGAGGAAGAAAAAGGAGAGAGAAGATCAAGAGGTAAATAGAAAGAGAAATTAAGACCACAGGTGATGGGGGCCTGCGTCAAGTTTCATCTCCAGCATTTCTGTGTGGATCTGACGCCTGTGCCTCTGCTTTCTTACCTATGCTGCAGTAACAGCAATGGCACTTAATGCATGGGATACTGAGAGTAAGAAGTAAGAGAAGCCCTTTGTAACATGGAACATTATGACTAGCATACATTAAGAGCATCCCTTACAGGATGGGGCTGACTGCCCCATAAGGTTTCCAAGGCTGACTGTTGTAACAGTGCTCTCTTAAGGTATTTTTTAAAAACAATTTTATACTGGTTTGCATACAAAATTAACATACATTGTGTCCCATTCATGTACACTGTGTTTCACACATTCCTTCCTTCCCACTGTGTTCACTTAATTATTCCTACACATTTATTTTATAAAGTTAATTACAATTGATCTATGACCACTATCACTGTCTTTTCAGGTACCAAGTGGATCTAACCTAATTCCTTCCCTCTTTCCTCCAAATTCTGTGTGGCACGGTAATCTTCCCCCACCCTTTTCCCCTTTGGGCTTTTATCTACATTTTTCAAGCGGTCCCTCTATTTTTACAGTAACAGTCTAGTGCAGTATTTGTCCTTACGAGAATGAGTTAATTCACTCAGCATAATGCTCTCCAATCTCTCATGCTATGTAGGATTTTTCGAAATTGTTGCTCCTGAGTGCTGCATAGTATTCCATTGTGTGAATGTACCACAATTTCTCAATCTGTTCATTTGTGATGAACATTTGGACTGTTTCCATTTTCTTGTTACTGGGAAAAAAACCATCTCTTCAACAAATGGCGCTGACAAAAGTCGACTTATACCTGAAGAAAGCTGATTTAGGATTGACATCTCACACCATACATAAAAGCCAATTCAAGGTGGGTCAGAGACCTACGAGTAAAGCCTAAACCCATAAATATCATAAAAGACAAAACTGGACCAACTTAGAAGCCCCAGCCTATGGTATAAATTGTTGTTGTTATGTGCCATCGAGTCGCTTGCGACTCATAGCGACCCTATATACAACAGCCCTAAACTCTGCTCTGTCCTGTGCCAATCGCAGTCTCTGACTCTTCCATCCCGATTGGCCCAGTCACTGACTCAATACACTTCATAGAGGGTCTTCCCCTCCTGTGCTGTCCCTCCATCCTCCCAAGCATGATGTCCCTCTCCAAGGACCGGTCCCTCCTTACAACATGTCCAAAGTATGTCAGACAAAGCCTCAGGATCCTTGCCTCCAAGGAGCCACCCAGTTTAACCCTTTCCAGGACAAATCTGTTTGTTTTCCTAGCAGTCCATGGTATTCTCATACTCTTCTCCAGCACCACAGCTCAAAGGCTGAAATTCTCCTTAGTCGTTGTCCAACTCTCTGATGCAAAACAAGTGATAGCAAAGACCATGGCCTGTATCAAACACACCTTAGTCTCCAGAGAGACACCATTGCTCTTCAGTACTTAGGAGAGGTCCCTAACAGCAGACTTTCCCATGGTAATACGTCTTTTAATTTCCTGGCTACTGGTGCTGAGAGTGTTGACTGTGGAGCCAAGCAAACTAAAGCTGTGAACAATCTCAATCTTTTCACCATCCATCTTGATGCTGCCAATTGGTCCAGCAGTGAGAATCTTTGTCTTCTTGACATTGAGCCTCAATCCATATTGGAGGCTGTAGTCCTTGACCCTCTGCAGCAAGCGCTTCAGGTCCTCCTCAGTTTCAGCAAGCAGGGTTGTGTCATCTGCATAGCACAGATTGTTGATTGATCTTTCACCAATCTTGACCCCACATTTTTCCTCAGAGCCCAGCCTCCCGGATAATCTGTTCTGCATACCGGTTGAAAAGGTATGGAGATAGGACACATCCCTGGCGTATGCCCTTCCCAATTTTGAACCATGCAGTGTTTCCTTGCTCTGTTCTGATGTCTGCCTCTTGGTCCAAGTATAGGTTTCTCATTAGCACAATCAAGTGTTCTGGGATTCTCATTCTCCTCAGAGTCAGCCACAGTTTGTTATGATCCACACAGTCAAATGCCTTTGCATAGTCAATGAAACACAGATATACATATTACAGGTAATGGTATAAAAAGGCTGGCAAATACAGCCAGAAACGCACAACCAGTAAAGAATAATAACATCTATGAATTGGACCTTCTAAAGATTAAGTCCCTGTGTGCATCTAAAATTTTTCCAATATGGTGAAAAGAAAACCTACTAATTGAAAAAAAACATCTGACAATCAGCCTAGAACCATACACTCAAAAGACAGAGTCGGGAGGGAGAGGATCAGCGTAGGAATAACTGACATCAGAGGTGACAGACTTATACTGCAGTTTGGACACGGGAAGCACTGTTAACCTCTGCGTTACATGAACCAGTACCAAACACTGTAAAAGAACTTATCTGTGTTACACTTAGGACAACTTCTGAGAGCATTTATATTCTGTATGGAACGCTTGGGGTCACCATGATTTGGGGTCCGCTTGAGAGCAGTTTATGCCATAGCCCAAGAAAACGAAGACAACCTATGACATCAAAACACCAAATCAAAGTCAGCAAGCCCCCAAAAGCCAGTGTTAAAACAACTGAGCCCGGGCTCCCCTGGGAACAAAAGCCTGGTAGAGCTTCCAGCTCTGTGTGGGCCCTGAGGACGGGTGGCCCCGGGGGTACATGCTTGCCACCACTGTCCCATTCCGCAGGGCCAACACATGGACACAGCGACCATTCTCAGGACGTGGGAAGAGACAATGCTTGGCTTGGGACGCCAACTTTCTGCCCAAAGTTCCAAGGCCGCCGGAGGGCATCTCATTTGTCTCTGGACGGGCTGGGATGATGGCAGCACAGGGCCTGGCGAAGTGCACTGCCTCTGTTACAAGGGTCTGCAGGTGCTCAGAAAGGGTTAGGGCCCTGGCTGGAGGCCCAGGCCAAGCCCACCAACCACGGGGTACACCCTGGAGACGAACGAGCGGGCCGACGTGGGTGAGATGGCACGCCCTGCTTCTCCCTCCCCCCCAATCCTGGACCAGGCACCTGCAGGCTCACCTGCTGCTGAACTGCACTTCTTCTCCATTCCGGGCCCAGCTGATGGTCGGCCTCGGGTTGCCCACGGCCTCGCAGTGCAGGAGGACACTCAGGGTGCCGCTGGCCAGCGCCACGGTCTGCCCGAGGTGGGTGACCACCTCGGAGGCCGAGAGCTGCTGGGCGGCCGAGATCTTGCGCAGGATGGTGGGCTTGCGCTGTGGCCGGCGCGAGGCGGTCCCAGCGGCCTCCCCGGAGGCGGAGGCGGTGGCGGCGGCAGCGGTGCGGAGGGCGCTGCTGAAGCTGGACACGGGCTTGTCCGCGGGGATGGCAACGAGGGGCAGCCTCGGCTCCGAGGGCTCCAGGTGCCCGCGGAAGACGTCCTGGGCCAGCTGCGCCACCAGGTGCTTGCTGTAGACGTCGCGCAGCTCGTCGGGCTGCTGGGACAGGTTCCCCAGGATGTCGTCCAGGCGCTGCTGCTCGGCCACCAGGGTGAAGGGAAGGTGCACGAGAGCCGGCTCAGCGTGCGGGTCCTCCTCCGAGGACGCGTTCCTCTCGGCCGAGTCCTGGGTCTCCCAGGGCGCCAGCAGCTCGCCGGGCCAGCCGCCCTGTTCCAGGAGCCGGGCCACGAGGTCATCGTAGCGGCTGCCGGGGTCCGCGGAGAGGGCCCGCTTCTCTGCCTTGCTGCCGTGGGCAAACACACCGTTCTGGTGCTTGTGGGTGCGCAGGGCCTCGTGCGCCCCACCTTTCCGCGCCATCGGCGCCGCCGCCTCCTCCTCGCGCCTCCGGCTCCAGCTTCCAGTGCGCGCCCCCAGCTTCCGGTTGGCGCCCAGGAGCCTGATGACAAGCTGCTCGCGCGCGGGCCCCGCCGAGCACGCGTACACGCCCGCGTCGGCCGGCTGGAGCCGGTGGATCTTCAGGTAGCCGAAGGGCGCCACGGTGACGTGCGCCGAGCTGACCAGGTGCTGGCCGTCCTTCTCCCAGGTGATAAGGGGCTTGCGGAAGCGCCGCGTGGGGCAGCGGAGCACCACTGAGGTCTTGGGGAGCAGGTAGGCGAAGCCCCCCACCACGAAGTGCAGCTTCTTCTGCCTGCGCGTCTGGATGTACACCTTCCGCACGGCCGCTATGTGAGGGCTGTGCTTCGGGGATGGCCGCCCGGGCCCTGGAAGGAAAGGGACCGAGTGACAGGGGAGGCTGACCGGGGGAAAGAGGAGAGAGCAGAGAAAGACAACTGCGGGACTCGGAGAGGGGAGCGAGGAGCAAGGAGCAAGGCAGAGGACGCCAGGCAGAGGAACCCAAGGGGGGCACAGAAGGTTCTGGAATTCCCTTCGGGCCAGTGCAATCGTTTACTGCCTTATGCTTTATGGAAGGACTGACCACCAGATGTGCCACCGCCAGATACTTAGAACTGATGACATGGCAGCTTAGCGGGTAGGAAGTTGCGCTGTCAACCTGATGGCAAGCAGTTCGAATCCACCAGCTGTGATGTGGTGGTATTGATTAGTTCAGAATTCTCTATGTATGTATCTGTTATGGAACGATAGTTATAAAACTGGCATCAGTTTTCTCCAGCCTGAAAGGCTCATTGCTTGACCTTAGAATTTATAGTGTCTTTCTTTAATCTGATTAAGTAAGAGGAGATGCATCGCTTACCTAGATTAGCTGTTTTCCCCAATCATATGTAAATTGTAACTTGAGGGAGTATCTGGGTGTGAATGATTTTCTTTCAGATATAGAAATCTGTTGATTTTAGTATACAAGCCTGGTGTGATCTCTCCCAGTCGGGGAGGCGGACCCACTGTCCTCCACAGATCTGTAATAAAGTGCTTAGGGATATTGCAATCCGTTTGTCTTATTGGCAGTTGACTACCAGTAACAGCTGCTCAACGAGCAAAAGATGGGCAGTTTCCTTGACTGCAGTTTATTGCCTCTGCAAACCCTCCCCTGTGATTTACTGCCTCTGAAAAGCCACTGGAGGGTCAGCTCCGAGTGGGCTTCAACTCGACAGTAATGAGGTGTCGCGGGCCCACCGCTTATCACCTTGCTGGCTCTTTCTACTCCTCAAACGGAGATCCAGGCTTCTAGATGGAAGGGACCCTGGGGAGGAGGCAGTGCCTCTCATTAGAAAGGTGGAAAAAGAAAAGGCAGCAGCATAAGAGAGGCAGAGGTCAAAGGGAAGGAGACTGGCCCCCATTAAATGTTTACCTTGCCAGTCCTGCAAAGCACGGGGCTCTAATTTACCCTACGAGGAGAGCCCAGAAGTGTTACAGCTCTGGGGATTCATATTAAATAGAACAAATGTGTTTGGAGTACTTTAAAGCCCCACAGTGGATGACATTAGACTTCATTAGCAATAGGCTGCCTTCAGCTTCCACTTCCCTGCATGCCAGCAAGTGAGGGTTTTTTCCCCCTACCCCCTGCAAACTTTTTCCAGCAGAGAGGAGAATTTAATCAGGCCATGTATAATTAAGATGCCTTTTCTGTCTCTAGCTGAGTCCCCCCACTTGCAGCACTCTGTGGGGTGCTCTGACTGTCTCCAGCTCGGTTCTGGGTGTAGGTGGGCTTCTGCATGGCTGTGGCTTCACATCCCCGTGCCCACAGCTCTGGTTTACTCACTTGCACAGGTTGCCAGCATACAGGGCCTGATGGAAGAAGAGAAGGCCAGAGGCGGGCACAGGGTGGAATTGACAATAGTGGAAATACCAGTTTTCAGCACTCTCCGGCAAATGGCGCTGCGAGTCTGGGTACCCTCGCCACAGCTCTTGGAACACTGGTGGGACAAGAAAAATCAAATGCATGTAAATCCAGGGAACCAGAGGTGAATGGTACAGGAGGCATTTCCTAGCCAAGGTGTTGAAGATGGGTAGAATAGGAATTCATCTCAGGGATGAATTAGGAAAATGCCGGAAGCAAGGTAAAGAGATAGATGCAGAAGTCTAAGGCAGGCCTGGTCGTGGTTTTAGGTGCTTTTGAGTTGATTAAGACTCATACCAGGCAAGTTTGGCGTAGGGGCTGAACTAGTCTGATGGAACAGAAAGACCAAGTCAAGTTCCAGAAGCACAAGAGGCAGATGCGGAGCCCTACAATCTCTAGTCAGGAGGGTTGGAATCGGTCCATAAAACAAAGAGGCGCCACTGAGGGGAGGAGTGAAATGATGAAAGAGGTGTTTTGAGAAGGTTAATCTGGCAATGGTGTTTGGGAGGGATGGGAGTTGGAGATGGATGGGAGGCAGAGACATCAGTTAAGGAGGCTGCCACAGTAGTCCAGGGCTGAGATGATAAAGACCTGAACTAGGGTCATGGCAGCATGCCACGTTAACTTGAAATATGGCAGTCAGAAAATGACACTTTAAGCATTGGGTTGCTGACCAAAAGGTCAGTGATTCGAATCTAGCAGACACACGGCCTGAGAAAGATGAAGCAGGAGAAGGATCAAGATGGTTTTAGAAATCCTGTGGGTAGTTCTGCGCTGTGCTGTAGGGTCACTAGGAGTGTGAACCCATTAGACAGGACTGAGTTTTCACGTCCATCCACTAAAGTGACACTATAGTGCAGTGTTGCTTTGATACACCAGTGTGAAGTAAATTTACGATGCAAAGGGTGGTGGTGGGGGAGCGTAAGCCTCAAATCCAGGGCTTCAGCTTCCTAATCACAGTTCTGGTTCTACCCATTATAGTAAATAACAGCACCAAATCCAGGGGTAAAGTGAGATGGTGCTGAAGGGCCTGAAGAATTTAAAAGTATGTTTCAGTGCTACCAGGTGGAAAAATGGGAATATGATTAGACTGCTAGTCTGCAGATAGATATGTTTCTGACATGGGTCAAATTTTTCTCTAGCCTCAGTCAGAAGACATAATGGTTTGGGAAAGCCCGCCGTAAGGGACCTCTCCAAAATACTGAAGAGCATTTCATGTCAGTTTGAAGACTAAGGTGTGCCTGATTCAGAGCATAGTCATTTCAGTCACTTGCTGTGCACCTGAGAGCTGGACAATGAATAAGGATGACAGAAGAAGAATTGATGCCTTTGAGTTGTGGTGTTGGAGAAGAGCACTGTATATCCTCTGGATAGCCAAGAGAATGAACAGATCTTGGGAAAAGGGTGCCTAGAGTGCTCCTTGGAGGCAAGGATGGCAAAGCTTCACCTCTCAAACTTTGGACATGTTGCTGGAAGAAGCAGTTTCTTAGAAAGGGATATTATACTTGGAATAATGGAGGGTCAGTGAAAGAGAAGACTCAGTGAGGTGGATTGACACAGTGACTGCAACAATGGGCTCAAGTTTCTCAGAGATGATCAGGATTCTGGTCTGTTGTTCATAGGGTTGCTATGAGTTGGACTTGACTTGATGGCACCTAAGAACAACAAAAAATTGGGAAAGCCAGAACAAGGATATTGAACCTGTGTTCTGTAACTTTATTGAGAAAGAGATTCATGGGGAGACTCACCAGGAAACTAGAAGCAACCCACACATCAGCCAAAGCAGTTACTTTATCATTTTTAGATTTCTGACTTGGTAGTAACATTTAATTTTAAAAAGAGTTCTGTGGCTTTAAGTTAAAACAAAGCTACAACAACGGAACCTGAAATAAGCTACAGGATCATCTTCTAAACGTCTAACAATCCTGACTTTAATTTTTTTTTTTTTATTTTGCAGGAGAAGAGCATCCATTAAAATATGACTTAAATATTTAATAACCAACTTTTTCAGGATATAGAAGACTTTCTTTTAAAGAAAAGAGGTACGGCCTTTTGAGAGGTCTTGCTCTCAGAATAGAATCTGAAAGTAATTTTATTTGAAGTGCTTAAAGAGACTTTGGCTGAGTTTGGTCTCTGAGGGATTCTATGCAGTAACCATGAGATGGAGCCCAGATAGTTGAGGATGAAAAACACCCATACATCATCCAGGTCTTCCTTTCTCCAGGGGAAGCCTTGTGTGGGGTGTGGAATGTACGAATCATCTCAGCCAGAGGGCCAAGGGAAAGGCCACTGGGAAGAGGCCCACGTGCAGCCTTTGTGAACATCCCCAGGGGCATTTTTATATGGCAGCAGCTAGAGTTTAAACCCCAGGATTTGGTGATTACTTCTCTCCATTCCAGCTCCTCCTCAGCGTTTGGATTTTCCATTTATCAACCCAGATAGCTCAGAACTTAATAACTTGCTTGGCTAAGGGCTAACTCTTGTTGTTGTATGCAGCTGAGTGAATCTAACTCATGGTGACCTGGTAAGACAATAGAACTGCCCCGTTGGGTTTCCAGGCTTCTCTTAGAACCTTGAGTGGTTGGTGAGTTCACCCCATTTCTCTGGTTAGCAGGTAGGCGCTTAACCATTGGGCCAGCAGGGCTCCTTGAACTACTTCTAGTTTCCAAACTGTAACTGTGTCCTTGAGGCCAAACAACAGTCTGTAGGAGAAGCTAGGTTATTGTAGTCCTAGGGAGCTCAGGGGGCCCTACTGGTGAGAATGTGCACTGCAATGCCTGAAAGCTCACGGTTTGAATCTGCCAGCCACTCCTCAGGAGAAGGGTGGGCATTCTCCTCGTGTCTGATTACCGCCTCTGAAAACCTGCTGGCGGGTCAGCTATGGGTCAGTTTCGACTCGCTGGTAAACATTAACAACAACAGGCCACGCCAGTCATTTTAGTAACAATTAAAGTTAACTTTTTCTCGGCACAGATTACTTTGGAAATTGTTTTAGCCCCCATTCCCACCCCCAAGCCATACATGGAGGTCAGTGTTAATATTTATTTTACAGATAGATGAGTAAACTAAGGTCTCTTGTTCTTAGATTGCATCAGGTCAGTGTTTTACTTGTAGCAACTCAGGGAACTAAGTCCAAAAGCCCATAGAATTTCCTAAACAGTAATTTTTATGAGAGTACATTGCAGGGTCTCTCATCTGGGGTGACTGGGTGACTTACCAATCTTCTGGTTAATAGCTAAGTAGCTTAACTGTTGTGCCACCAGGCCTCCGAGAACAGTTCAGTAATATAGCCAGTAAGTAGCACAGTTAGGATTTGAACCCAAGTTTACCCATTTTTGAGTCTACATTAGTAACTGCTCCCCATACTGTTCTAAAGCCAAAAAATCAAACCCACTGCCTTCAGGTCAGTTCTGACTCATAGTGCCCATGCATCAGGTCTTTTTGAACCTTTAGGGAATTGCTTTCCTAAGGTCATCTTTAAGTCAAACAACAGAAGCAAGCCACCTTAGGGGTGATCTTCTTGCCTGAGGCAGTAGGTTCTTCTGGAGAATTAATTATGTGTACTTGGTTTTGAGGAATAGTAGCCCCAAGGATTTACTGGACAGTGCATAGCCCTTCCTAATCCTTCTGCTGCTTACCAGCTCAACAGTACTGGACAAGTTCTGTGTGATCGCCTGAGAAATGAACATGATCGTGAACTACATAACCCATCTTCACATCCCCTCTTCAGAGCACCTTCCTCATACTTTCCATGTTAATGTCCCCTAAATCCTATCCCCTTATAATAAAAATATGCATTCCCACCAACTTGTAGTGTTTCTCTATTTTATTTAGGTTTTGGATGCCTGGAAACAAATGAAGTTGGCTGTAAATTAATATTTTCCAGCCTCAGAATAGGAACTCACTAGAAAAACAGGGAAGCTGATGTTGAATCTTAATTTATGAGGTAAAGTCAGGGATAGTAAATGCTGATGCAATCACCTCTAAAAATTCAGGGCGACGGGGAAAATCAAGTTCTCTTGCTGGGAAGTTGTTGGATTTTTAGAGCCAAGAAATGGACAGGAAAGAAGCAGGATTTCCTTGACATTCTTTTTCCAATAAATCATGTTCTTTATTGTCCAGTAACTTGGAAGAGAAGAAATAGAAGGGCTTTGCCCTTCCTGAGACTAGAAACATCTGGGAGCAAGCGGTTTGGAGAGGTCAGGCTGAGGAGTGTCGAGAAGGGGGGAGAAAACACAGTGTCCTGAAAAGAATCCTGTCAGTTTGCAATCCTTGTGTCCAATTGCTGGGTGTTAGGAGTGAATGGGCCCCCAGAAACATGTGTCTTAAGTCCTGGTGTTGCTTTGGTTAAGTGCTTAACTGCTAATTTGAAAGACAGAGGCTTGAATACACCAGCTGCTCTGCAAGAGAAAGCTGCAGACCTCTGCTTCAGTAAAGATTGTTAGGTGGTGTCTCATGTATGTACACCGGCTAGGACACAATGCTTGGTCGTGCGTCATCATCATAGTAACAGTCGTTACTGTGTTTGAATTCATTGTGCAGCCACTGTGTTAGTTCGTCTTGGTGAAGGTATTTGTCTTCATTGACCCTCTACCAGGCATAGTGTTCTCCAGGGATTGGCTCCTCCTGGTAACAACATGCCCAAAGTACTGGATTTGAAGCGTCACCAGCCTTGCTTCTAGGGAACATTCTGGCTGTACTAATTCCAAGACATTTGTTCTTTCTTTTAGCTCAACCTCAAAACTCAAAACACATTGCCACTGCATTGACACCAATCACATAAGATTGCCCATCTTTCTTCTGAGGAGAGGGCAGTGGATTCAGACTGCCAGTGAGGCATGCTCCCTGAGTCAGCAGCACAATTTCTTACACTCTACACCACTGATAGTCCGTGTGCATTGCACCATCAATCGAATGCATTCATTCTTCAGACTTCCTAATTCACTGTCCAGCTTTTGTGTGCATGGAATGTGAATGAAAATACCATGACTTGGGTCAGGTACATCTTAGTCTTCATGGTGACAGTTTTGCTTTCTGTCTCTTTAAAAAAAAGTCTTTTGCAGTAGGTTTTCCCAATGCTATACCTCACTTCATTGTTGTTAATTGACTTTGCCTCATAGTGACTATGAATAACCTTGCCCTATCCTGTGTCATTGCCACAGTCTCTCCATCATATTCCAGCCCACTGTTTGAGTCCATCTCAACGAGAATCTTACTCTTTTAAGTTCCTTGACCTTTCCCAGCTTACTGTCTTTTCCCAGGAATTGTCCCCTCTTGACAATATGCCCAAAGTAAACGACATGACGTTTCACCATCCTTGCTTCTTCTAAGCACCCTGGTTGCAGTTCCTCCAAGACTTGTTTGTGCTTTTCTTTTGGCAGTCCATGGTATATTTAATACCTTTTACCAACATCACAATTCAAAGGCACCAATTCTTCCTCAGATTGTGAGCACTGGTGGTGGTGACTGTAGGGAGTTGTACTGGGAAGTCAAAAGCTGTGCACCTCTCTGGCTTAAAATTCACCCACCAGTCACTCTAAGAAGGAAAGATGGACAATCTCCTGTATTTTGTAGCCTCTGAAAATCTGCAGGAGTAGCAATGAGAGATGTTTTATTATAGTCTTGGGAACTCTGGGACAATTCTCTATTCTACAGGATCACCCCACTGTGGTAATTCTATTTGGAGTTGGGCTTACTTTATTATGTTAATGAGGCCGTTTCAGTGTAAGTGTGAGACCAGTTTTGAATCTCCTCAACCTCACAGCCATCAACTCTTAGCTGACCCTTCAGCAGATTTTCTGAGCATAAATCACATGGAAGGAGACTGTCCATCTTCCTTCCAAGGGGCCACAAGGGGATCTGAACCAGCAGAGAGGCATAGGTAGCCTTTAGGTCAACAGTGCATCTCTACAGACTATGCCACCAGAGCTCCTTGAATCTCTTTTTAAAGATTAAGCTTTAAGCCTTTTGCAGTGTCTTGGAAGACCGACTTTTAAGATACAAGAAGATCAGAAATGACACAGAAAACAGAACACAAATGCAGGGGAAATAAAAAAAATGCAGGGGAAATACATGTCATGTCAAGATCACCCAAAAATCAAGGGATTCAAGGTCTTGGAGAAACTGTTGAAGGTTTTCTTAGCGACGACAGAGAAAGCATTCCATTAAAGCAGTGCACTAAATTCTGAATCCTATTCTCCTAAAAGGGGAGAAAATACATTTTATTCCTTAAAATCACTCAGGAACGTTATTTTTGTTACAGCAGCAACAGCAAACTAACTCAGGTGTCTGCAGCCTGGTTAAAAGCTAGTTACACTCAATGGTAGAAAGGGCTGCAAAAGTATTGCTTGAGTTATTTTCTTGCCTTCTGTATGTATACATTGGGAATGCCTCCTTTTCTTCCTATGCCTCACCATGCCCTCGTTCTGGAGAGCATACACACCTCTGTCCAGTCGGAGAGTAGCCACTCGCTGGGGCAGTCCTCTTTCCTGCAGGCTTGCTGGGAGGGCAGTTTTGAGGCTGGACAGAAGGTTTCAGGAAGCTCCAAGAAGCTGCCGTCAGCCATACGCTGCTTGCACACAACCTCCCGTTTCTGAATACCCCCTCCACAGCTCCTGGAACACTGGGGAAGGAAGGAAGGAAGGAAGAGAACATTAGCCCAACACTGCAGAGCAAGCTGTTTGGATCAATGAGTCTTAACCTTTGCTCAGTCTTGGCTGAGAGTGAAAAAGAAGAAACAAATCAGAAACTAGTTCAAAGAATTTGGTTTTCTTTCTTGGAAATGAATTTGGTATTAAGGTTTTATACACTCCACTCTTTGTCTCCAGTAAAAAGAGCATCTAGTCCTTTCCAGGGCCTTTAGATTTTAGCAAGTTACTCTGCACTATGATTTGTAAGACAACTGGTTTAAAAGGTTAATATAGTACAGTGTTAAACATATTTATGGTGCAGTGAAAATAATCTATGCTGCTTCCAGAATGAGTAAGAGCAAGCTCTGGCCATCGGTTAAAACCTGGAGGTATTAATCTGTAGAGAAGACAGCTTCTCTCTTTCTTCTTTAAGTGTAAACACCCTTTCTACCACAGTGGGCAGTCATTTGATTTAGGGCCTAGCAAGAACTCCCTTGGAATCCTTTTCTTGTCGTTTCTTAGGGCAATGAAAGCAGTGTCCACTGAATTACGGATGTAAGAAAAATGTCTCCTTCCAGGCATTTTCAGCAGGACCCTAATCCAACACACTGTTTATATGTAACTTAATAGTTACAATCTAGCTGTCAAATGAAGCCCCCTGTAGCACAAACTATTAGCTGTTTCCAAGTATCTGTCCCCTCTATACTATAGAGTGCCTCCCCCCATTTTTACCTGGTCACATGTTTTTTTCTAGATAAAGTTGACTTTGCCACATTCTGATAATTGACATGGCCATGTAACTATGGAAGAGTTATATACATTTTCAAGGATACTTATAGCATTTTTTTCCTCTTGCCGCTGTCTGGAAAACACATCTAAAATATAAGCCTTCATTTGGACTTTGACAAGCAAAAAGATAGAAGGAGCCTGGCTTTCTGATCATTATTGCCTCTGTTAACATAGCATGAGAGGTATTTTTCTGTCTTATTTAAACTGCTGCTATATTGGGTTAGGTAGCTCTCTTGGCCTACTGGTAAGAAGTTGCACTGCAAGCCCAAAGGTGGGAAGTTCAAATCCACCAGCTGCTTTGAGAAAGAAAGATGGGCAGTCTCCTCTGTGATTTACAGCCTCTGAAAACCCACTTGAGGGTTAGCTGTAAATTGGCTCCTACTTGACAGCACATAACATTTCGGGTTACTCTCATATTTAAGCTAATACAGCAGGCTTTCGCTGTAAAAAGGAACACTGGTGGTGCACTGGTTAGGAGCTTTGCTGCTAATCAGAAGGTTAACACCTAGCTGCTGCTTAGAAGGATATGGCAGTCTGTTGCTGCAAAAACACACAGCTTTGGAAACTATGACAAGTTCTATGAGTTGGATTTGGAGTGACCCTGAGGGATCTGGCTGTCAAAGTTTTAACGTATACTCAGCCCTCATCTAGTTACTGTGTAAGAGTAGATCCCTGTTTCAGCATTGTGAATGTGATTCCTTGGACGTAGATTCAAACTGCCAACCCTTTGCTAAGTAGTCAAAGAGGGCGTAACTGCGTGCGCTATCCAGGATGTGGTACAAACAGTGTACTTAGTTGGGCAGTGTGAGGCTACACAGAGGTATCTCAACAGAAAGGCCTGCAGTTCTGCTTCAGCGGGATCCTTGCCCCAGCAGCACAGATGCTAAACCAAGACAAAGGAGACTCGCATGGCTCCTGCACAAGGATGATGTGTTCATCGGGGAAGCACTAGACTTTAAAGACAGGAAAGAAAGACAACCCCACAGAGCCGAGTTCCACGCCTGACGCATGCGAGGTTGTCTTAAACTGGAATTGACTGGATGGCAATTAGGGGTCTTTCCCTTGTTTTTTCCTGCTCTCCTCCTTAACTTGATGCCTGTGGTTTTGCAATGGCACTAGGTCCAGGTTTTAAAGCTTCAGATTCTGTCAGAGGACCAGTTCCTGCCTCATAGGGCCCAGGTCCCCTCTCAGAACTCTCCTGGGCTGTGCTCAGGAGGCTGGGAGTTTTGGTTTTTTTAATGTTTTGTTTTGTTGGTTGTGGTGTTTTGTTTGTTTTTTTTAACCCACAGCAAAGGCTGAATTGGTGAGTGTCCTTGAATATGGGCAGAAGGCCTTTGTGGTGAGCTCCTCCCTTACTCTGTGGGTCTCAAAAATGGGTCCACATAAAAATCCCCTGTGAGGCTTTAAAAAGTAGTACTGTTGCCCAAGCCCTACCTCTGACCAGTTACATACAAAACTCTGGAAAGTGGATCTCAGACATAAGATTAGGGTGGTTGTTTTTTTTTGTTTTGCTTTGTTTTTAAGCTTTCCAGGTAATTGTGCTGTGTAACCAGGGTTGATGAATCAACAAAAGAGGATGCTCGGTGACCTGGACTGATTGATGCAGTGACTGTGAGGGACGGAAGCACAGGATCAGGCAGGGCTTCCTTCTGTTGTAGAAAGAACTGTCATGATTTGGAGCGGATGTGACAAGTCAAGGTTGACAGCAGTCTCTCCAAAGTAATGTGCTTCCATTTTTCCAATGAAGAGAAAAGCGTGAAAGTAAAAGCCTAGGGTTCACTGAATTTTCTGCTAGGGACCCTACTGGAGCAATAGACCCTCTGTAGCTGTGAATGGCGGGAAGCCGCAGAACTACTGGACAATAACGAGAGAAAAGCCATCAGTCAACCAGCTGACTGACTAACAACTGACTGACTCTCTCTTATTGCCATAGAGTCAGAGCTCAAGCTAGGCACCTTTTAAAATCAAAGCCTTTCAAAGTAACCAAACCAATGGTAACAATTTTTTAAAAATTTAAAATAACCTTATTGAGTGCATTAGGACAATAATGCATTTTCTATGTGACACCATACCCGGGACCAACTACATATTTGTCACTGAATAAAAGACAACACACAAAAAAAGATGAAGTCACCTTATGAGGCAGATCTTACCCCACTTTTCAGATTAGAAAACTAAAGCTCAGAGACATAAAGTGACCATATAGAATTGACTTCTTCCCGGTAAGTGCTACATTTACTGAACTTCTACAACACATCATGCCTTGGGCTGAGGACAGAGCTGGAAGAATGGAGCAAACTAGGCTTCTCTCTCCTGTGATGTGAGAACTCCTCTTTACTTATGGATCTGGGAGGTGGTGGGGAGACCCTGCCCACTGCCTGCTGCTGAGGGTCCCATGCCTTGTAAACACCATGCCTGCAGAGCTCCTGGCCTTTCACTGTACAGGACGGAGATGCTTTGTAACTCAGGCTGGTGACCATCCCTGACTAGTAAATGTCTGTCTATAACCTAGGTTGAGGCCTAGCATTCTAAATGGTCTTATCTGTGTGATGGTGACCTTGGAAAGTCTTTTATCTCTTGATATCTGAGTGAAAAGGCCACATTTGATCACAACTTTCAGGCTATTCTGTGAACCTGGGGCCAGGGGTTGGGAATTATATGTGGTCAGTTCTCACCACTGATCGAAACAGTTTCTTCCAAGGGCCTATCTAGCATATGCACTGGCTTTGTTAGGCCCCATCTGGGACCTTAGAGCCAAGGACTCAAGTTGTGAGTAACCCAAGAATCGGTTGCTCTAGGTTTTTTGGGTGGGTTTTTTTGTGCCAAATACCCCCTGGTATTTTAATTTATTAGAGAAGCAATCTTTTTGTTTTAGCAATTATAAATAGAGTTGAGAAAATCTTAAGGATTTAACTTCTTTCCTGAAATTTTTTTTAAAAATTTAATTTCTTGACCTATTTTGTTCTCCCACTTGTATTTTGCAAATACAAGCCCTCATATACATGCTTGTGGAATTGAATTGAAGTTGGTGGTTAAGGGAAATTTAAATTAGTGGCTAAGAATTCCATTTATTTAGCAGAATTCTTCTGCTTAAGTATGGATAAGGTTTTAAATTTGGTTTTACAATTCACTGCATGACTTGATTTGTTAGGCTTAGTCTTCTCTTATTTCTGTCAAATTTTCACTTCTAACCAACTAGTTATTCTATAATCAAATTAGTTATAATATTTTATTACTGAGACTTTGCGTAGAATTTTCATAATATAACTAGACAACTAACCATGTGAATTACTGATTTCCTGAAGATTTGCCAGACGTAAGGACTGCATGCACCACAATTCTTTCCATTCAATGAATTACTAAGATTATTCCATGAACTCAATCTAATTTTGTTGAAACCACAATTATCTGAAACAAATGTATGTTGATGAATCAACAATTTTAATCTTACACTCTCGCCTCTCCTCTTTGCCTGTTTGAGAAATCATTTAACTGAATAGTAGTCTTGGCCTTTATTCAGAACAGCACTTCCTCTGGAGGGAAAGCTCTGATCAAACTCTTCCCTCTATTCTCTCCAACTCACCCCATATCTTCTCCTTTCTCAATCGTCCCCATTGATTTAATAATGTCACATCCAGGACAAAAACTTAGTGTCCTCCACAGCTTTGTCTTTCTCATCACCCCCACCTTCTACCCAGTTCATGAGCCTGTCAGATTTACCTCCAAAATAAATGTCATCCTGAAATAAACAAACGTGTAGGCTGGGAGACCAGCATTCTAAAGTAGCACATCTGTTGCTGTTCGGTGCCATCATGTTGGTCCAGTACTGTGTACAACACAGTGAAACATGGCCTGGTCCTGCCCCAACCCCTATGTCAGCCCAAGTCATAGTGAGTCTTTCACTTTTTTCACTGACCTTCTGCTCGACCAAGCATGATGCCTTTCCCCAAAACAAATGTCTCCATCTCTTGCATAGACTTTGCAAATTGTTGTTGTTGTAGTTAGTGCCATGGAGTTGAGCATTACTCAATAGTGAACAACAGATCTGAACCTTGTCCATTGTTGCAGTCACTGTGTCAATCCATTTTGTGGGAGTTCTTCCTCTCTTTTGCTTATCTTCCCCCTTTCCAAACATGATGTCCCTTTCCAAGGAACAGCTTCTCCTCATGCCCCAAGTATGAGAGAGAGAGACAAAACTTCACAA